TGTATATATATATATATATATATATATATATATATACACTTTTTTTTTTATGTTTGCATTGCTGCTCAGAGAAGTTGCTTTTTAAAGATATAGTTCACCTAACATGTTGCATGTGGTGGAACACTATTTTTTTAAGAATCAAAAACATTTCGAATGCAAAATGACATATGTCAAAATGCACTATAAAATTGTACATGTACAGTCTTGTGGTGTCATACAATTATTTTTGGTGTGCTATTACTTTAACATGTAACCTTGGAGATAAACATTCACTATCAGGTAATATTTTGGGTTTCCACTATTAAAGACAGGTGTGTGTATTGTAAACGGGCCAGAACATTGAGCAGAGATTTGAATATTTGATTCAGGTTTTGGTTCTGCTCGAACAAAGTTGAATATATGGCTTCATGATGAGAAAAATATATAGCAATTTATCACTTTTTCATTAGGGCTGTTACCACGTTAATGCACGCATGCACCACTGCACAAACTCAGACGGTCATGTGGGCTCTGTTTAGGTCTCCCAAATGTTTCTCAGGTCTAAATGACTTCACTTCTCATTTTCACTATGATAAATCCAATATACTTCTTTCTCAAATTTGACCTGCCTCATTTTCTCTCTCTCTCTGTGCTGTAGCGAGTATTGATGAAGTGGAGTTCCAGTGGAAGTCTCAGTTCCACCGCTGGCTTTCTTACATGCTGGACTGGAAGAATCAATTTAACGACTATGCCTCTGTCAGAAAGCAACAGTGTGAAAACCTTTAATGTTTGACCACATTTTATTCTAAAAAAGCCCATGCAGTGCACTTTACTACTTCACAAAGCTTCAGAAAGCCAAAGCCCATACACATGGATGGAGGAAAGCGCTTCTGTGGTTTCTGTATCTTCACAACTTGGTGCCTTTTTGCTTCCTCTGGGCCTTGTCTGGCAAATAATTGCTATTTTGGAACTCAAAAAAGGGTCCTTCTTGAGGTACTTGGGTAAGTTTGTTTAAGTGATGCAAGAACATGTCCAAGTCACTCCAGTATATATATATATATA